ACACTGCAGCTCATGCTGAGCTTCTTAATATATTGTTATAAAATAATTTTATTTAAAGTGTTAATATGACTATAAAATTATCTGTTTTATAAAAAAATGTATTTATAGCTAAGATGCAAAATAAAGCGTGGATAATATAAATTATTAGACAATCACAATGAAATAATTGTATGACAATTGCTATAATAATATGCTATAGAATATATAATTTAGAATGAGATTACATATTGTGTATAATTAAAACCATTATATATGATATATTATTGAGCACTTATATTGAAATTATCACTATCAAATTCTATTTTATATGTATTATATAAACTGATAAGTTTTTTATCTCCTAACTGGCCCCCAGAGGCTAAATCCTGTCCCTGTGACTCGTCATACACTGTGTTCTCAGCTGAAAATTGATGCTGCCACTTCCCCCCAGAGCTGCTGCAGTTTGCTGCGAGCGCTCGGAGCTGTTTTCCTCTTAGAGTCTTTCAGCAGCCCTTGGAGCCTGTTTGTCTTGGCATCCCCATCCCACAGCACCCACCTCTCCGTGTCTGCTCCCAGACTGCAGCACTTTGTGCCTTTTGAATGCACTTCTGGAGTTCTGAGGTGCAAACACACAAGAAATCCATGAGAAAATTGATTTTCTCCCTGTATGTATTTTCCATCGGTTCGACCATTTCACTTAGAACAACTTTCACTATAGGCCTTGAAATATTTGGCCTTGGCAAATGCTCAGGGATTTTATAAGTGAATCCATTCTTCTCTCCTCACATCTGCTCCTAATAATCCCAAGTGCTTTGGGTTTGTTCTACTTGCACATGGAGGTTTTTGTTTGCTTTCTCTAGTCTAAAGCACCAAGTATACGCATTGGTTCATTCTTGGCTCAACGATGCTGCTGAGAAAAGTTGGGCACTGATTTCCAGGAGAGTTGGGCTACAAGAGGAGGTCTAAAAATACTTAGCCATAAGGCAAAATTCTCTCTAACAGATTAACTTAACTCTGTGGCAATAAATGTTAAGGTCATTGGCCAAGAGGTTCTCGCGTTATAAAATTCCTCTCAAATTGCATCATCTGAAGCCTTTGGGGGACAGAAAAATTGGGGAAATTTCTTTAGAAATTCCTTCTCTTTCCTTAAGCACGAGCAAAGTGTGAAAAATTGAGTAATCCTGTTTGGTAAATTCAGAACTAGTGAGTTTCCTGTCCAAACCAGAAGGGTAAGAGTTTCATCAACTCTCTCCCACAAAACATCATTTCTGTACCACTTTTTGGCTTTCACTGGAGCAGAAAAGCTCCAAGAAAAGAGACTTTGGACAAACAGGTTAATATATTCATGTAGACCTGCCAAATCCCATTGGTTCCCTTCATTTTGGATGCATTTTCCTGCTTAAGGCATCTTCTTGTCAAAGCAACTCTAAGGGAAATAGGTGTTTTAGATACAGAATCACAGAACAGTCAGAGCTGGAAGGGACCCTGGAAGATCAGCCAGTTCAGCTCCAAACCCAACTTGTGATTTCTAAAGGAGATTTCAGCAGCAGCAAATGTCCAACCAGGTTTTTGTGTAACCCAAAATATCTTCTGGAAAAGACATGACTCAACTCTGTGCTGGCTGACACAGAGGAGTCTATGTTTACTTTTTGGCACTTCCAGAGGGATACAAGCCACCTGGGAGGAGTTCAGGGAGAGGAAGGAGAATGATTGAGAGCCCAGAAAACATGACCTACAGGAAAGATGAAAAGAACAACCTGTTGATTTTTAAGGAGAGACATAAAGCAAGAGAAAATGAGCTGTAACAGCAAAGAGGCAGCAAAGACTAGAGCACTAAGTACCATGTCCTGTTGTTCCCTGACCACTTCCAGGGATGGTGACTCCACCACCTCCCTGGGCAGCACATTCCAAGGCCTGACAGCCCTTTCCCTGAGGAAGATCCTCCTGATGTCCAACCTGACCCTCCTCTGGCACAGCTTGAGGTTTCCCTCTCCCTCGCCTGCCCTCGTGCCCTTGTAGCCCAGCCTGACCCCCCCTGGCTGCACCTCCTGGCAGGATCTGGAGAGAGATTTGTTACTGTCTGACAAAGATGAAGTTTAGTTGCTTGAGGGACTATTCAGAGGATACCACAATCACCATCCTGACTCCAAGGCTGGATGACCTCCAGCGCTGCCTTACAGCCTCAGCTGTTCTGTGATTCATAAGTCACTGGAATTCTTAAGTTTGTCTTGTTCCTCCAGGGAGCTGCAAGGTACCTGGAGATTCCTCCAGGGAACAAGTGGCAGGATGAGAGGAGGGGGAGGGGAGGTTTAGATTGGATGTTAGGGAAAATCCCTTCACAGAATGGGTTGTGAAGTATTGGAACTGCCCAGGGAGGTGGTGGAGTCACCATGCCTGGAAGTGTCCAAAAAAACATGTGGATGTGGCACTTGAGGACGTGGGTTAGTGGTGAATAGGGTGGTGGTGTGGAGTTGATGATCTTTTCCCTCCTTAATGGTCTTTTCCAGGTTTAGATTGGATGTTAGGGAAAATCCCTTCACAGAATGGGTTGTGAAGTATTGGAACTGCCCAGGGAGGTGGTGGAGTCACCATGCCTGGAAGTGTCCAAAAAAACATGTGGATGTGGCACTTGAGGACGTGGGTTAGTGGTGAATAGGGTGGTGGTGTGGAGTTGATGATCTTTTCCCTCCTTAATGGTCTTTTCCATCCTTAATGATCCTGACCCAAACATTAGACCTTTCCTGAAGCCAGAGATGCTGTCAGGCACTGTCATCTCTGCAACAAGTCATAGAATCCTGGAATCCTCAAGGCTGGAAGAGACCTATCTCTAAGATCATCAAGTCCAACTTTCTTGGGAGAGCTTTCTGGTTTTGCTGACAGAGGAGCTGTGAAGTGTGGTGGGACAAACAGTGTGGTGGGACGATCGCTGTGGTGGAGACTGGTGAACAAACCATCAGGCAGTGTCCTTGGTCCCAGCATCCTGCTCTGTGGTGGCTCAGAGGGCACAGCAGACTGTCTCCAGCTCTCTGGGACACTGCGGGGCAGGTCCCAGTGTCAGGCCTTGATATCAGGGTGCACATGAACTGTGTGGGGAGTGAGAAGACATACAAACATTGCCCAGCTGCTGCTGCACACCAAAGGCTCACACTGGAACAGTTGAGACATGGGTGTGCACACCAGGAATGGACACACAGGTGAACTATATTGGAAGAGCAGGTTTGTTCCCACCAGTGGGTGCTGGGGAGGGACAGGCTGATGGAACTGCCTTGCTACTGTGATACAAGGAAGAGGCTCACCCTCAGCTCCATTTCCAGACAGCCTTTCCCTTCAGCATCTGCCCAAGTTAGAATCAGAATCATCAGAGCTGGAGGAGACCTCTCATATCATCCAGTCCAACCACCAGGTGGGAGGAACACGTGTGTATCTGTGTACAGGGTAGCTAGGCACTCATCACACTGAGACTGGAGTGATGAGGAATATCTTCCTCACTGCTACAACACTCCTCTGTTCAGATTTTTGTGTGTAGGCACAGAGTCCTCCACCCTTTCCTTTGGCTTATTTCAGTTTGATTGTGCTCATGGTCATGAGCACATCTTGGTCTCTAGCTCCTGACTCAGAAGCTACCACTGCTATCAGCACTGGAGAGCAGTTTTTCCAAGGGCTGCTCAGGAGTGTGAAGCACCAAACCACTTCCCATCCTCTCATCTTTCCCACTTTATTCTCCCCCACTCATCCAGGAGGAGCAGCTGCAGGATCCACTTGCAGCCAGAAGGGAAGGCAAGCAGACAGCTGCCACGCTGTGATTCAGTTTCAAACTGTGGTTTGGAGGGGAAGCTTTCAGCTTCAGTTCCCACTTGCAGAACAAAGAGCATCTGGTTTTTTGACACTTGCAGTTTTGTGCTGGGGAGTTTGATTTGCAATTCGGGATTCCATGGAGAGAAACTGAATTCAAGTAGTGTAAAATATTCTCCTTACATTTTAGGTCGCTGTGAAAATAAATCCAAGTTGTATATGTGAAAGGGCAGAATGTTTAAATGAGGGTGAGAGGGAGTGTGGGTGAGCTCTTAGGCCCTGTGAGTGGTGTGACTAGAAACAGGAGATAGCTTGGATTGCAGCTTTGTTTTATGGAATTTGAAGACAGTGAGTGCTGAAGAAAGAGGAGACTTTGGCTCGAGACGTGTCCGTGTGTGCTGCAGTTGCAGTGGTGAGGGGTAGAATAGCTTCTTGGCCAGGCTGGGGATGAGGAGAGCCAAAAGTGAGTCACATGGGCGACTGCAGACACCACATTTACTTGTGTAAGGAGCCTGCAGGCAGCACAATTGGAGCAGGCTCGCTGACCTCACAGCTCAACGTGCTATTTAAGGTCTGCCTACCAGATGTTCCAGTAGGATCCAGCCAGCTGCTCGCAGAGCCGACCCCGAGTGTTTGAACGGGGAGGATTCCCAGCCTGAGAGCCCAGGAGGGATGATTGCACTCCTTTTCTTTGCTGCCCTGCTGTGGGATGAGGCTGGAGCGTGGGGATTCAAGGATGGAGTGCTGCACAACTCGATTTGGTTAGGTAAGAGAGGATTTACTCCTCAGCAATGGTTGGCTGCAGAGTCACTGTGGGTTTAGCTAACAGTGTGAGGATGAGCACTGCAAAACAAGATCAGTGCTGAAATTCCCTGAGATCATTTTATCTGAGTGGTGACTAAGTTTTTCTGAGCTTCCTACTTTTCCCCTTTCTCTGAAATGCAGGAAAAGGTAGTGATGGATAGTTCATCTGAGTCTGTTTTCCTGCAGCACGAGGGAAAGTGAAGCCAGCACTAAACTACAGTTGCATCTAATGAAGGAAAACAGGCATGGAAAGAAACATTTGCCAAAGGAATGAATGACTTTGTGCATGAACATGCCTCACATGCCTGGGGTCCTGCATAGGAAGCTAAATGATGTGGAAATAACTGTGATAATCTGTCCTAGGTTTCTAGAAAAGGGCAGAACTGTGTCTGGTTTGGCTGTTGGGTTGTTCACATCACATAACAGCAGAGAGAAGATTTCAAAAGGGGGAGAGAAAATGCTGTGAGAATGGATTTTTGTACCTCAAATGGGTTTAAATAGCTCTGAGACTAATTTTCTTGACCTTTATAATTACCCAGTACAGTGAGAATAGATTCACACAAATGATGCCAAAACAAGGTGTGCACTGAGTGCTCTGTGTTACACACAAATGCTTACAAATCCATTATCCTCCACAGAATATTCTGTATTTCTGTAAGGGTTTCAAGCAATTCCTGTAGCTGGTAGAGGTTTCTGTCATGCCCAGGTGTCTCCTGAGGGGTGAGGCCACACTCTGTCAGCAGCCACATGTCTCCAGGGCCCTCTCAGAGGACCATGTAAACCAAGAGGAACATAGACAGAAGTGATCTATATTGTTTTCCATTTCACTGCACATTTTTGATGACTTCTTTCTCCTCCTGAGCTCAGAGCTTGCTGCTGTGTCCTATAGCTGCTGAGGATGCTCAGTGGGGCAGAGCTCCAAGGCAGGACAGCTTGGCAGTGTCAGGCTCCACCTCCAGTGGCTCCTGCTCAGAAATAGGATGGCAAGAAGAGGTTTGTGTGAGAAACAAGCTTGTATTCCTGGCTGGAATAACTGGGGAGATAAGTAGGGATGGGGCTGTGTTAAGCTTTGCTGGCAGGGGCAGAGAGGTTGAGTGCCAGGGACTGTCCCTGGGTGAGAACACCCTGATGATGGGGAGGAGGTGTTGGGCACACACATCCCACGAGAACTCGTGGACAGAGAATGGGTCCAGGGAGCTTCATTTGCAGAGGTTGGTCCTGCAGCAAGGCACAGGATCACAGAACCATTAAGGCTGGAAAACAGATCATCCAGTCTTTAGGGCCTTGCACAGCATAAATGTGAGTTTGGGGTAACAGTGATCACTGAAGCAGTTTTAGGATTTGAAGGAGATTTGAGGCAAAAGGTTTCTAGTTCTTTAAAATGAAAAAATAGTGTTAATTGGAATGCACAATAACTTTCTGGTTTGCTACACCATTTGCCATGAGAGAGCAAATAAAAACAACCCAAGGAGTAAAAACTCATGACTTGCTCTAAACAAACCAAACCAGAAATACACCATCGAGTGTGACTACAGCAGTGACACTACTGAAATGAAGCTCAAAGTGCAGTTAATTGAGTTACCAGTGGAAATCAGTGACTATATATAAGTGAATAAAAAATTGGCTTCTTTGTATTTCATAAAAGAGAACAGTAACACAAGTCACCCCAACCTCACCCTCACTGTGCACAGCATTAGAGCACAACCCCTGCCTTGGATGAAACCTGGGGGTGCTCAGAGACATCTGAGATTTGCTTATCTCCTCCTGACAAAGCACCAAACTGATGTGGAGTGTTCCACTTAATCTTTTTCCTTCAGCAGCAGCAGAAATATAAACCTTGAATTGCTGTCAGCCTGGGGATGCTTGTGTCTTTTACCTTTCTTCTTGTTAGAAACATGTTTCTCAGTGAGTTTGCATCTACTACCTCCCTGGGCAACCTGTGCCAGTGTCTCACCACCCTTACAGGGAAAAACTTCTGCCTAATATCTAACTTAAATTTCCCTCTTTCAATTTGCCCCCATTGCCCCTTGTCCTGTCCCTGCAGCTCCTAACACAGATCCCTCTGCAGCTTCCCTGTTGCCCCTTCACCTCCTGAAGGTGCTCTGAGGTCTCCACACAACCTTCTCTTCTCCAGGCTCAACAGCCCCAACTCTCTCTCTCTGTCCTCGTGGGGAAGGTACTTCAGTCCTCTGATCAGCTTCGTGGCCTCCCGTGGACTTGCTCCAACAGTTCCATGCCCTTCTCACACTAAGGGCACATGGAATGTCATGGCTGCTCATTTTTCACACAACCACATTATGACCAAAGGTTTCTCACCAGCTGATGAGAAGATTGGAAGAGCCTTGCCCCAACTTGCTCACACTTAGTGCCAGTTGTTGGTGCCCCAGGGTAGGATTCCCAGCACAGCTGCTGCTCTCTGTGTTCAGAATTCCATCCCATTCCCACTCCATGTGTCAGGGTGGTTTAGGGGCTGTGTCCATGCCTTTGGTGGAGCACTCTGAGTATGCCCTTGTGCCTTAGCAGAGGTCCATGCCAGGAGCTCCACATGGTCACCCTCTGCTTAAAAGCTAAATATCCCTTTTTATTTAACATTTAGTCTTGGTGTGATTCATTTTGTTGGTACTTTATTAGGCCAAATTTCATGCTTGTTGTATTTATGCAGGAGTTGTTGGCTACGTTTCACCATCTCCTGCTGCTGTGGGTGAGTAGAAGGTCAGTGTCCGAGGTCCATGCCAGGAGCTCCACATGGTCACCCTCTGCTTAAAAGCTAAATATCCCTTTTTATTTAACATTTAGTCTTGGTGTGATTCATTTTGTTGGTACTTTATTAGGCCAAATTTCATGCTTGTTGTATTTATGCAGGAGTTGTTGGCTACGTTTCACCATCTCCTGCTGCTGTGGGTGAGTAGAAGGTCAGTGTCCTTGCAGTCAAGGCTCAGCTCATCCAACCTGGTTGTGAACACTGCCAGGGTTGGGGCAGCCACAGCCTCCCTGGGCACCCTGGGACAGGGTCTCACCACCCTTACA